AATGATGGTGGTGACGATGCTGCTGCTGCTGCTGATGATGATGATCATGATGATGATGATGATGATGATGATGATGCTGATGATGATGATGATGATGATGATGATGATGATGTTCATAGTGATGACGGTGATGATGCTGATGCTGATGCTGCTGCTGCTGATGCTGATGCTGCTGATAATGATGATGATGATGATGATGATGATGATGATGATGACGATGATGCTGGCGTTGCTGATGCTGCTGCTGATGCTGATGATGACGATGATGATGATGCTGATGCTGATGATGATGATGATGATGATAATGACGATGATGATGCTGCTGGTGATGATGACGATGATGACGATGTCGACTATGACGGTGATGATGATCATCATGATGCTGATGAGGCTACTGATGGTTCGAGTTGATGATGGTCATGCTGATGAGGATGATGGTGATGATGATGCTTCTGATGATGCTGTTGTTGATGATGATGACGATTATCATGCTGCGGATGGTGATGGTGGTGCTGCTGCTGATGATGATGATGATTATGAGGATGATCATGACGAAGACTAAGATAACGATGATGTTGATGTGGATGATGGTGATGATGATGCTGCTGAAGATGATGATGCTGATGATGATGATGATGATGATGTTGATGATTATGATGCTGACGCGGATGATGACCATTATGATGATGATGCTGATGCTGATGCTGCTGCTGCTGCTGATGATGATGAGGATCGTGATGCTGGCGCTGATGATGAAATCAGTGTTAACCTTATCCGCGTGATTTTTTATTCATATAATATTTCGAATGATGATGATTATGATGATGATGATGATGATGATGATGAGGATGTGGATGAGGATGATGATGAGGATTATGATGATTCTGATGATGATGATGATGATGTTGCGACTGATGTTGTTGATGATGCTGATGATGATGTTGATGCTGCTGATGATGATGGTGATGATGACGATGAGGAGGAGGAAGAGGAGGAGGAGGAGGAAGAGGAGCAGGTTGATGAGAACGAGGATACGAGCGAAAAGGATGAGGAATAGGGGGACGAGGAGAGGAGGATGCGGAGGACGAGGAGGAGTAGGAGGAGAAGGACAAAGAGGAGGAGGAGTTGCATGAGGAGGAGGCGGATATGGAGAAGGAGGAGGAGGAAGATGAGAAGGATGATTGGGGGGAGAGAAGAGGAAAACTGGGAGCGTCCTCGTGGTGGCAGCTGACAGGAACAGGTGGGTAGGGTAGCAGCGCTTGGGCTCCGAGCGCTCCTTTTCATTATGTTTCTTTATTCGTGTATGCTCTTACGCTGCCGCTCAGCCAGCCGATAGGGGCTCTTCCGGCGCGGCGCATGCTTCGTCTTGGCCGCGATCATCAGACATTTGCACGCCCGAGAGAAAGCCAACTCGTGCCCCCGCCGCAGCGCAGCGCAATGGCCTCTGGAAGTTCTGCTCCCGCCCATGCGCGGCCCCCGCTTGTCCCTTGGCCGCATCGACGGAAGCGGCACCGCGCGCGAGCGATTTCCGTCCGCTGGGCGGGAGCGCGCTCCGGTCCCGAAGCCAAATCGAGCCACACGTAAGTTCTTCCTTTAGATGAGGGGGGGCGAGGATCGGAGGATAGGAGGAGGAGGAGGAGGAGGAGGAGGAGGAGGAGGAGGAGGAGGAGGAGAAGGAGGAGTAGGAGGAGAGGAGGAGGAGGAGGAGGAGGAGGAGGAGGAGGAGGAGGTTAGGGGGGGAAGGTTGAGCGCGGGCTGGGCCCGCCGACTCGCTCGACCTGGCTGGCTTGACCGATCCCCTGCTCCTGCCTCCGACCTCTGCCGCTCCTTCCCTCAGGGGGGAAGCAGAGGCACAGGCACAGATCAACGTCGCTCCCCAGGAAAGCAGGAGAAACAGGTGGAAGTGGCGGGGAGACAGCAATCCGGAACACATCTGGTGTGCCCCCTGGGCCTTTCTTGTTCTTGCCTTGTGATGGGCATGTGGCGCACAGGGCTGGGAACGCCGAAATGGTTCACAAATGGTTCCCCAGATGGTTCCCCAAATGGTCGCCCGAAAAAAAATGGTCGCCCAAATGGTCGCCCAAATGGTCGCCCAAAACAAACGAAAAAAAAATAGTATCTCGAATGGTCGCCAAAATGCTTGTTTCGGTTGATGTGTAAACGGCCCCGCTACCCAAGAGCCGTTAGGCTATAGTGCAAAGGCGCGCGATCCCGAACATCGGGACCGACTTTGTTCGAGGCTAATAGGGCGAGAAGGAGGAGGAAGGAGAGGGGGCTGATGTGGAGGCAGAGCGATCAAGGATTGTCGCGGCATGGCGGGAGACACGGCGCAGTCGGCGTTTCCGCACTGTCCTCCTTGTCATTATCTTCCTCCTCCTCCCTGTCCTCCTCCTCTTCCGTATCGCCCATCTATTAACGCTCCTTTCCCTCTCGCGTGCCCCCCCCCACCGTGCCCAGTCCCTCGTTCTCGCGCTGCCGTGTTAATATTCAGCCCTTCCGCCCCATATTTTGTTGGCCCTCAGCGTTGTCTACTCTCCTCACCCCTCCAGTCGTTTCCTTGTATCCCCTCCCGTACCTTGGCTCTTAGTTCCCCCCGTCCGCCCATCATTCATCCACCCTCGCTATCGTTTTCTTCCCCTCGATTTAGCCAGAGGCGTGGACAGGCCACTGCCCAAAACCATGCCAGGGAAGGGTTTGGCGACCCCCTTCTGTGTACGCATGGGGACTCGAATGAACGAACCTGGCAATTAGACAAGTTAGGCCATGCAGCGAGCAACGTAAAACCACGAAGCGGGACACAGGAGAGGAGGAAGAGGATGAGGAGGACAGGGGCAGGGATGGCGATATGACAGTGGCGGTGGCTTGTATGATGCCACCTACGTGGCCTCTACTACGGAACAGGCGCGTACGTGCCACCAAAAAATCTCGAACCCGCAGCATTCGCTACAAACATTGTTTGATTATGTTTCGCAGTGTTGGGGGGTGCTCGTCGGGTTCACCTCTATCTTCCCTGGGGGGGGGGCTGCGGGTTGCGGCTGTGCCGCGCGATCTTCATCGCGCGAAGACCGACCTCATCGCGCTGGCTCTCTCGGGCAGAGGGCGCCTGCAGGAGGAGGAGGAGGAGGCGGAGGAGGAGGCGGAGGAGGAGGAGGAGGACAGGAGAGATCGGAGAGGAAGAGGAGGAGGAGGCGCGTGACAGCCAGCGCCAGGGCGTTCACTTCTTCAGGCCAGCCTTGTCCTGGGCTTCAGCCAGGAGCGTCTTCGGCACGTGCGCCACGAGCTGCTCGGGGAGGCCTGCGAACAACGTCTTAAGGCCCCGCTTGAGCTTCAGCGGCGCCGATGCATTGTCCCGCAGCATCACGAGGGCCATTCCTTCGAAGTAGGTGATCTTCATGCGGTCGAGCGCGCCCTCAATCTCAAGCATCGCGCTGGCGCGCGCGAGGTCGGTGTCGCCGTGGAGCTGGATGGCGGCCTTCGCCGCCGAAACCTTGGAGCCCACCAGGTCAATCTCGCTCTTCAGGCTGCTCGGGCGGCAGTTGACGAACAGCGACGCAGATGCCCTCTGGAGGTAGCCCTCGAGGCCGCATTCCGTCTCGAGGCCATCGTGCCATAAACCATCGTCGCAGCCGAAGATCATGCTGCGCGCCACTTTGCCGACGGCCTTGGCTGCCGAGTCAAGGGCAGAGCTGCAATGCAAGTCGCCCGCCTCCGCTGCAAACGTGGAGAGCTCTTCCACCCAGCGGTCGAAGAATTCGAGGCCAATCGTGTCCTTTGCCTTTTTGGGGGGGGCTTCAGTTGGCCGCAAACCCTTACCCAACCAGGCAACGCTGAAGACATCCCTGAGAAGGGCCCCACTCCTCGACCCCCGACTGCATCCCATAACTTGCTCGCCCTTCTCCTCAACATCACTCTCCCCTCGCTCGTCCTTTGTCCTACCTGTCCTCCTTACCTATCACCACTCTCCCTCCTCATTCAACCCACCTCTGAACTGCGTGCCCCTCTTCTCCCCACCCACCTATTCCAAGACAGTCAGAGTCTACAGCGTTGATCTGGTTGGGCCAGGGCTCACCCGACCTGGAGCCCCCCCCCTGACCTGACTCATGGCAGCCCTCCCCATCACGAAGCGCTTCAGGCCCTCGGAGGCGTTGTCGTTGGCCGCGCGGCTCGGCATGTCGTTGCCTGAGGCCATGTAGTTGTAGATGCTCGCGAGCTCCCAATGCAAATTGGCCAAGGCCTCCACAGCCATCTTGTTCTTCTTCCCTTCCGTGGAGAGGTCCGTGATGATCCCGATCAGGCCAGAGCAGACCTGGCACTGAGTCATCATGAAGTTGCAGGTGGCTTCTATCAGATGGGTGTCCTCGCCCTTGCCAAGGTGGGCGAGCGCCTGTGTCACATATCCATAGATCGCGTCCTCGAGCTCAGAGTTCTTTTCACGCACGCCGAAGTCCTTGTAGGTGGTAGTCATCCCCATGATGCTGCGCGCTGCCGCCAGACGGTTCTCCCGCGTGGCTGCGTGTTGGTAAGACGTCAGGGCCTCCACGAACGACTTCACGTGGCCAGAGACAGTCTGCTTCTGTCCCAATGCGATCACGTACGACTTGAGCTGGTGGGCGCACGGGAACTCCAACTTCACAGTCTCGCACGTGTCGATCAGCTCCTTGAGGCCGGTGGCGTCCGCCTCGTCAAAGACCTGCTCCTCGATCTTGTCCGCAACCTTCTTCAGAACGTCCAAGGTGCACGCCTCGAGGCTGTGAGACACATGCTGCATCTGGGCAGCCCGCACCTTGCCCTCCGCGCCCAGCTTCACCTGCCACCCAAGCTTCAGGATCCCGAACATCTCCTGAAAGTTGCCGACACCATTGATCACAGAAAGCTTCTTCTCGACGTCTAGCAAGCGAGGCATGATGTCTTCATAGTGGGGACGGCACCGAATGTATTCAGCGAGCATGCCTTTATAGTGGCTGCTCTGCTTCAAGGTTGCTATGATGTTGATGTCACCTGCACCCATGTTCGCAGAGACCGACTGGACCCGATCGAAGTCACGATTGGTGGCCAATATCCTCCTCTGCTCAGCAACGTCGGGCTGGATGATCATGGCGATGCCGCGGAGCATCGAGCACATCTCGTCCGCGGCGTCCTCGTACGGCTCGAAGTTGAGGTTCTCGTCATCGGAGGCAACCGTGACCAGGCCGATGACGGTCTTGATCACGCGCATCACAGCGTCGAACCCTTTGGCACCGTCCTTGATGAGCGGGATGACAACCTTCCTCAACAAATTGTCGTACATCGTGGTCATCAAGTCCTTCGGGGAGCCTTCGATGTGGCGGAGACGGGGTTTCAATGGATCAAACGTGTTCTCACAATCGGAGCTCTGGGGCCAAGCCTGGACGATGTCGATGAGCTCGGCGACCTTCTCCTCAAGACCATCCGTGCTCTGCGACCAGTCCTGGAGCGCCCTAGCAGTGCAATCGTTCTTGGCTTTGGTGGGGAAGTCGACGCCCTTGTCCTTGAGGCTCTGCAAGATCTCACAGAGCTCGGACCTCGGCAGGCTGAACCATCCGTTCTCCGACACGAGTGCCTCGGCCTTGGCATTGAGCTCGACGTGCTCCCTCATGGAGGCCCCTTCAGAGCGGCCCATTGACTCCGCCTCGGCCGCGTAGCCCTTCAGCGTGCTCCGCTGTCTGCCAAGGGCCGCTCCCATGAGAGCCTGCGAATGGCTCACCTTGGCGATCTGGAGCTGCCACTTTGCCTTGACGGGGTCTGTCTGCGCGAGCTCGGCGACCTCAGCAGCAAGACCGTCCGCGTCGCCCACGCTAGTCGCTGCGCCGAGGCCAGCACAAGCCAAACGACCACGCCGTGCTGCAGGGCTGGGAGAGGGGCCATCGGACTTGGCACCCACGCTCGGCCTCACCGAAGAAGCAGGGGAGGCCGCAAGCGAAGCCGAAGGCAGTGCTGCGGCAGGATCTCCGCTCGGATCATCGTCATCCGCAGGCGCGCCCTCAAGACCTTCATCGCCTAGAGCGCCGCCCACCTGAAGGCGATATCCAAACTGCACCAACGCCGCCCTACGTGCCCCCACCACCATTAGCTTACAGAAACTCTCGGGGTGCACAGGGATGAGGCCACGGTTGGAAGGCATTGGTACGACTTGGATCCCTCCTCCCAGCCACCCCATCATCATCATCATCGACGGGAATGCCCTTCCTCTTGTCGGCATCCCTCTTCTTGACGGCCCGCTCGACGAGGACCTTCATCGAGATGATCGGGGCACCGCTCGGCGCCCATTCGGACCTCAAGGAACCTACCGAGTGCTCGTAGACCTTCGCGGGCTGGTCGGCGTGGATGGTGGCGGAGGCCGAGGACTTCGTCTCCTGCTTCTGGACGGCCTTCGAACACGAGAGGACGAATACACGGGGGGCGCCTTCTGTCTCGTCCGTCAGCACGCCCAAGACTTCCTCACCTTTCTCGTTCCATAGCTTCTGGCACTTGTGGCTGAGCTGCTCAGGCATGTAACCCAGCTTCTCCCAGATGTCGCTTCTCGTCCAAAAGCCCACCCGCCTCTCGCAGGTCGCACGCTGCGAGGTGACAACATCGACGTCGGTGCTGCACTTGGGGGGCTCGATCTGATTATTCATCCTCTCCTGGTGCGCCGTCTCGAAGCACGACCTGAAGGCGTGGTCGCTCTCGGTCATCTGGCACACGGTCTCGTCATTCAAGTACATGTAGCCAAGGGTGTAGGTCTGGAAGTGGTCAACGCACAAGATAACCGCACTCCTCTTGTCGGAAGCGTTGAGGCGCTTGTTGCAACCGTGGATACCACAGACGGTGCGCGCCTGGCGGGCAGCCTTCGCCTGGCGAATCGCCACGTCCTGCAGCCTCTGCTGAGCACCTCGCTTATGCGTTCGACTGCTGCCGACTGGAGCCGCCAATGTCAGAGCGCTGACACCGCTGGCGACGCTCATGCCGCTGGAAACTGGCGCATCGCCGCCCTCTGGCAGACCCATCGCCTTCGTAAGAACCCTGCGGGCCCTTTTCTCAGCCATCGGAGAAAGTCCTGTTGATGCAGTCTCGGGGGCGACGCCGGAATCCTGGTGCGTCGAGTGGTGGCGTAGCGCCCTCAATCGCAGGGCGCCTCGATGTCGAGCCCAAACGGCTGCGGTGGAGGAAACGGGGGATGAGGCAGGATAGGCCCATGGAGGGGGAGGAGGAGGTCGCGTTAAAGTTAATGACCCAGGCCCTAGGAGGCCCCTGTGAGGGCGGTTCTGAAAGCCAGCAGGCGTCTAGCCGCTTGCTGGCTGGGAGCCCCAGTAGGCCGCGCCCCCTCTCCAACTCTTGCGCGCGTGACGGGGGGGGGGCGAGTCAGGGAGGGGGAGATAACGGGATTCTGACCCAAAACAGTGTTCACCCATCCGTTGCGTACCGAAAGCCAAGAAGATCGTTATGCATCTACTTCTTGGTGTCGTGTGTCCAACCAGCATGTGGTGTTGGGCCCTCTTGTTGAAGAGACGGCGCACCGCGTTCCTCTCCTCTCCTCCTCTCCTCCGCTTCCTCCACCTCCTCCATCCGCCGCCTCCTCTCCGTCCTTGCCGTTGCTCTCCGCGTGGATCGGCTCGGTAAACCCAGCACGGCGCTCGTGGCTCTATAGGGGGATTGACCGAATGCCCGAGTGGCAGGGTTCGCATTGCGGCCTCGGGCCATGTAGGCACACACCTCACAAAGATCGTGGCCCCATGGGGTCTCCACCGAAGGCCTCAGCGGCAAGGTTCGCATGGCGGCCTCGGGCCACGTCGGCACACCCCTCACGAGGATCGTGGCCCCATGGGAACTCCACTCAAAGCCCCACATGGCAGGGTTCGCATGGCGGCCTCGGGCAATTTCGGCACACACCTCACGAGGGTCGTGGTCCCATGGGAACTCCACCGAAGGCGCCGCGTGGCAGAGTTCGCATGGCGTCCTCGGGCCATTTCGGCACATCCCTCACGAGGGTCGTGGCCCCATGTGAGTTCCACCGAAGGCGCCAGCGGCAGGGTTCGCATGGCGGCCTCGGGCCATGTCGGCACACACATCACAAGGACCAGTGGCATCAACCGAAGGCCCCAGTGGCAGGGTTCGCATGGCGGCCTCGGACCATTTCGGCACAGCATTCACAACGATCGTGGCTACATGGGAACCCCACCGAAGGTTCCAGTGGCAGGGTTCGCATGGCGGCCTCGGGCCAGGTCGGCACACCCCTCACAAGGATCGTGGCCCCATGGGAACTCCACCGAAGGCTCCAGCAGCACGGTTCGCATGGCGGCCTCGGGCCATGTCGGCACACCCTTCACGAGGATGGTGGCCCCATTGGAATTCCACCGAAGGCCTGAGTGGCAAGGTTCGCATGGCACCTCCAGGCCGTTTCGGCACACCCCTCACGAGGATCGTGGCCCCATGGGAACTCCACCGAATGCCTCAGTGGCAGGGTTCGCATGGCGACCCAGCCCGATTTCGGCACACACACCTCACGAGGATCGTGGTCCCATGGGAACTCCACCGAAGGCACCAATGGCAGGGTCCGCATGGCGTCCTCGGGCCATGTCGGCACACCCTTCACGAGGCTGGTGGCCCCATAGGGAGCTCCACTGATGGCCTGAGTGGCATGGTTCGCATGGCAGCCCCGCTCCATTTCGGCACACCTCTCACGAGGACCGTGGCCTCATAGGGGTCTCCACCGTAGACGGTATTCACAGTTGCTGTATTCACTACTGCAAACGGTTGGGGTTCCTCGCCCAGCTAGCTCATTTGGGGCATCTACAAAACTCAATCACTTTCGTGGGCCGTCACCCTCAATCCCACGGCGAATAGAACACCTATTGGGACGCTGGAAACGAATGAAATAGCAAGCGGCCTGGAGGAGGACACTGGCCCCATCTGCATGCTCGACCACTGGTAATACCACAGTTACGACCAGACATGCCGTTGCTGCGACCTTATGCCAGCACAACATTGGGTTCAACCTTGCAGTGGCCCAGAATGTAACATCATCGTTGCAACCACAACCGCAACAGACCTTGCAACGCATCTTAGGATGGCTGGCGCTGCTACCGCCAATATGACCATAACCGCGGGCATTGTATTACTTATTCGACGCATACCGCTCCAATATGCATAGCATAGTCTGCATAGCATAGTACTATGTCTGCAGCCGAGCATGCTGTCATGCCTACTACGGCACCTATTCATTACATTATTACCAGTGCGACTGCGTCTACGCCAGCTGCTACCAATCTATCAGGCAACTACTGCGACGGTGGCACGGCGCCTCCAACTTCCAATCGACTTGATGACATCCCTGCCTGTGATCTGCGATAGGGGGCGGGGCCCGAACCAGAAACACCTTGGACTTCAAAGCCCCAGGGGCCACCCAACACAAGGCCAAACATCTGCATCCGATGAATCGGCCCCCGACCCCCAAACACATGTGATTAGCAGCGGTTGGCGCGGACAGGGGCCCTCCCCTCCCCCAGTCGATCCCCCCCCATCCCCCGAGCCTCTCTCGCAAAAGCGTGGGAGCGTTGGGCGCGCCTGAACTGTCGAGCTCCGGGTGCTCTCAGATCGGGGGTCGGCGTTCACGAGCGGCGGCGGCAAGGCAGGCGGGGGGAGAGGCTGCAAGCACCGACTGCAGAGAGAGGCGGGCTTGGCAATCGACGCTGACGGCGGCGCCAACAAACAGACACGAAAACAAATGCGAGGCTGAACCGCACAGCTTGCTCTGCTGACGTGAGTCGGGCAAGAGAGAGTCCAGAGACAGGAGAAACACTGGGTAAGGCATTGCTTGAGAGGAGAGAGGAGGTGCGGAAGATATTGGGCGCGAGGAGAGGAGGTGAGGAAGGTGGGTGATGACAGGGCAGATGACGTTAGCAAGCGAAAGAAAGCGATAGTGAGCACAACGCTGGAGAGTGATATGTGGACACCCTTCGATGTCACTCTTCATCGGCCGAACCCCTCGGACACACCAGAAATGTTAGCAAGCGTACAAGGTTGAGAACCGCTCGCTGAATATATCGTCGGCCTGATGGCAGACCCAGCGAACTCAACAGCAAGCACCCGCGAGAAACTTTAAACAACCCAGACATCCCCTGAAGGGCCCTCGAATTGAAACGTGAACATGGTCGCCGTCTCTATCGTCATCGCGCCTATCGCCATCATCATAGGTATGATCATCTGTCGTGGTCGCCATCATCACACCATTCATCACGCTTTCCTATGGCTCCGACTTGCCATATTGGCCTAAGTGCCTGGCTCAAAAATGAGGCGGTCTGACGCCCTACCCCTGAAAGAAATCCTGAATAATTCAACTGGTGCTCACCAGCTGGTGGTTAAGCATCTCCATCGGGCACAGCTGCGATGAGTCTTGGCAGCTGCCCGAAGAAACAACGGACCCTAGGTTCTGACTGGCTGGTGGCTTTGTCACCGACCACGCCGCTACCACTGTTCTCACCGCTGAAGGGCGGATCTCTGAGCTTCCAGTTGCGACGCTTGGGCGGTGGCTCTCCCTGGGCAGCCGCTGGCGATTTCTTGGATGGCGTGTTGGCAAACGCCTCCAAGCTCTGAGCCTTGGACGGGGTGCTCTGGCGCTCAGCAAGCCCATTAGGAGGAACAGCGACCTTGCCGTGAAACTCACTAACACTAAGGCGAGGTCGGACAGAAACCATAGGAGGACTTTCATCTAAATCTACATCTATTATGGGAACGGGTCCACCGTTTCCGCTCGAGCGTGAAGGCGCTGGCGTACCACTGCGCCAGCCCTCGCTGGCGTCGGCCGCAGCTCCCGCGGTGGACTGCTCGCAAAGACGCGCAACTGGTGACAGCGGCGGCTCCTCACGGCGCTGGGGCGCCGCGCCCGGTTGGTTGACAGCAGCCAGCTCCGTCGGGCACTTGCCCACTGCCTCGAAGATGGGCGCGTCTTGCTCGACCACAGCGGGCGGAGTAGGCGGAGGAGGTATGCGGCCAGCAATGAATGCATCGACTCTGGCGCACGAGTCAATCTGGCAGCAGTAATCTGAATGGGAGTACTCGAAAGGCTCCTCCGCTGCCACATCATCACCACGCGGGGCAATCGGGCCTTGGTGCTCGCGCGCTGCCTCGCCAGTTGCCTCCTGCGCCACTCCTTGTTGATTGTCCACGGGATCAGGTTTTGCTCCGATGACAAGTACTGTTGTCGGCAGTTCGAACTCAATTTTCTGCTCAAACGAAGAAGGCAAATGAGGACATGACACCACCAGGTTCAAACTGCCTGCCAAGATACACTCCATTGAGTCAAAGGGGAATCACTGATCTCTGGGCAGCGCGGCGCAAGGCTTTGCCGAGCGCGTGAGCCAGACGCCTATGGGGGGATAGAGGGGGGCGACGAGAAGTCCCACCAGCCTTCTGGGCGTCGGTGGTTTGGGGAGGTTCCTCTTCCACCCCTCCCTCTTCCCCTTCGGGAAGGGGTTGGCCCCTCCCCCTACCCCCCACCCCATGGGCATGGCCAGGGGGACGCGGGTAGCTAGAGGGTCCAAGATGGCCCCTGACGGCCCCAAGAGCGCCTCAGGAAACCCATGATAGCCTCCAGGATGGCCCAAGGTAGCGCAAGGTGCCTCAAGATGGCCCCGAAGATGCCCCAATACGTTCCAAGACCGCGCCGAGACTGCTCCAAATGCCCAAAAGAGTTCCCTAATGAGGCCCCCAGTAAGCCAAACTGCTTCAACACCATGCGGAAACAACAACATGTGTTGCGTTCTCGCCGTTTCGCTTCGGACGCCCATCCGAGGCCTCAGAGTAGTTTCAACGTGGCCAAACATAGACCCAACACGGGCCCAAGAGAGCCCCCAAACGGCCCCACAAGCCCCCAAAAGCGCCCCAGAGCGACCCCAGAACGCTCCGAGAGGCGACTTGGGGGGCCCCCGAGGGGCAGGGCTAATAGAAGCTTCCCTTTCTGTGATCGGTGCCCCCCAAAAAGGCCCCAAGAGACGCCTTGGACCCGTATCTTAGGCCCTGCGCGC